TAGGGCTATATCTTTCAAATAAGGAGGTCAACGAGGGGGAGCAGGGAGCTGCCATTGGCACTATGCTGGGTAGAGGGAGATACGGGGGGGGGGAGACAATAAAATCATTGTAGGAGAGGGGGAGGGAAGAGGATCTTAATCACCCCCCCAAAACTGTTTCCCAGTTTAGACAGCCTGGATACCCATGGCAATAGTCCCACTGGGTTAAAGAGGCTGCAGCTGAATGCCAGGTCGATAAAAGAGAAAACATCAGCTATCTAGGACCCAATCCTCGAGGAGCAGGCTGACCTGGCCTGTATTACAGAGACCTGGCAGGATGAAGTGGGGGGGGGTAGTCTCTCCCGGCTTTACCCATCTGGGTTCTCTGTGCAGCAGCAACAGACCAGACCTGGGGGTCGGGGGCGGGGAGGTGGAGTTGAAGTAGTTTATCATGACTCTATCCCCCCCCTCACCAGGTGCCTTGTCCCGCAGTTTTCTGGGTTCGAGTGTGTATACTTAAAGGTGAGTGCCTGGGGCAGAATAGGGATTCTGTTGGTGTACCGTCCACCCTGCTGCTCAACAGTCTCCCTTCCTGACCTGACTGAGTTGGTATCGGAGGTGATGTTGGAGGCTGATAGTCCTGGGGGACTTCCATGTCCACGCTGAGAGCAACTTATTAGGAGCGGCTGAGGACTTCATGTCCTCCATGACAACCATGCGTCTGTCCCAAGTGGTTTCTGGCCCCCACACATATAGCAGGAGACACTCTGAACCTTGTATTTCATTCTGAGCAGGATGATGGTGATTTGGGTGTGGAGGAGCTTTCTGTAGTTCCGTTGTCATGGACAGATCTCTACCTGGTGAGGTTTAGACTCACCAGAACTCTTAATCTCTGCAGGGGTGGAGGACCTATTAGGATGGTCTGCCCCAGGAGACTAATGGATCCGAGTGGTTTTCTGATGGCTCTTGGGGAGTTTCTTGTTGCCTCGGCAGGCGATCCTGTCAAAGCTCTGGCTGATCTCTGGAACAGGGAAATGGCCAGGGTGATGGACACAATCACTTCTAAGCAGCCTCTCTCACGAAGTAGAGCCAGGTAAGCCCCCTGGTTTACCAGGGAGCTGGCAGTGATGAAAAGAGTGGGACGGAGACTTGAGCGACGATGGTGGAAAACTCAGAGTGAACCCGACCAAACACAGGCTAGAGCCCATTTGAAGGCCTATTTGAAAGTTCTTTGCTGCTGCCATTGCATCTGCACAAAGTTGTCCAGCAGAGTCGTTTCGAGTGATCAGGGCCTTAGTACATGCCCCACCAAAAGAACAAAATATTGACCATTCCACAAACTGCTGTGAGGAATTTGCATAACACTTCTCAGATAAAGTCACTCAGATCCGCTCTGATTTGGATGCTGTAATTGATGCAGACCCAGTGGATGTAACTTTGGCCCTGGCTTGTCCTGTTTTCAATTGGTGCAGCCTGATGATGTGGACAGGACTCTTGGAGAGGTGAATGCCACCACATGTGTGCTGGACCCTTGCCCTTCCTGGCTCATAAAAGCAGCTAGAGGAGGAATGGCCGATGGGGTGCGGGGAGCAGGAAATACAGTACCTCCTTGCGGCAGAGTAGGATCCCTGCTTGTATAAAAGAGGAAGTAATAAGACTGCTCCAGGGATTCCTGGAGGAAGCAGATTATCTAAACCCATTTCAATCTGGTTTCAGGCCTGGCCATGGGACAGAGACAGCTTTGGTTGCCTTGGTGGATGACCTATGCCGGGAACTGGACAGTGGGAGTATCTCCCTGTTGGTTCTGCTGGATCTGTCAGCGGCTTTTCATACCATTGACCATGGTATCCTTCTGGTCTGTCTCTCTAGGATGAGACTTGAAGGCACTGATTTCGCTCCAGTCCTTCCTGGAGCGAAAAACTCAAAAGGTGGTGCTGAGTGACTCCTGCTCAATGCCCTGGCCATTGGCCTCGGAGGCACTGATTTACAGTGGCTCCAGTTCTTCCTGGAGCGAAAAACTCAGAAGGTGGTGCTGGGTGACTCCTGCTCAATGCCCTGGCCATTGGCCTGTGGTGTTCCTCAGGGTTTGGCTTTCTCATCCATGCTTTTTAACATTTACATGAAACCTCTGGGGGAGGTTGTCCGGAGTTTTGGGGCTTGGTGCCCAGTATGCAGATGACACCCAACTCTTATCTCTCCTTTCCACCTAATTCCAGGGAAGCTGTCTTGACTCTAAAACAGTGCTTGGCATCACTAATGGGCTGGATGAGGGCAAGCAAACTGAAACTTAATCCAGACAAGACAGAGGTGCTCCTGGTTAGTCGGAAGGCAGATGAGGGAATAGGGATACTACCTGTGCTGGATGGGGTTACACTCCCCCTGAAAACCCAGGTCCGCAGCTTGTGTGTACTCCTGGATTCATCCCTAAGCTTGGATGCCCAGGTTTCAGCAGTGGCCAGGAGTGCATTTGCGGAACTAAAGCTGGTGCTCCAGCTGCGCTCATTCTTTGAGATGTCAGATCTGGCTACAGTGACAGATGCCTTAGTTACATCCTATTTAGATTACTGTAATGCACTCTATGTGGGGCTGCCTTCAAAGACGGTTTGGAAACTTCAGCTGGTGCAAATCTGACTGGAGCCAGCTACAGGGAGTATATAACACACCTATTACAAGAACTAAAGCTGGTGCTCCAGCTGCGCTCATTCTTTGAGATGTCAGATCTGGCTACAGTGACAGATGCCTTAGTTACATCCTATTTAGATTACTGTAATGCACTCTATGTGGGGCTGCCTTCAAAGACGGTTTGGAAACTTCAGCTGGTGCAAATCTGACTGGAGCCAGCTACAGGGAGTATATAACACACCTATTACAAGAACTGCATTGGCTACCAGTCTGTTTCCGAGCCCAATTCAAATTGCTTGTCATTACTTATAAACCCTATACGGCTTGGGTCCAGGCTACCTGAAGGACCGTATCTCCCTATATGTGCCTTCTCGGTGATTAAGTTCAGTAGAGGAGACCATTCTCTTGGTCCCATTGCCAGTACAAGAACAGCTGATGGGGACACGGGAGAGGGCCTTCTCTTTGGCAGCTCTCAGTGTAGTAGGATATCACCTTGTTGAACGATTCTGTAGTGCACTTTGTTGTTTTGGGGAGAGTGGGAACCTTGAAGTATACATATTTTAGGCCTTGGAGGCATACATAGATTGAGAGGAAGGGAGCCAAACATCTGAACGGCATTCGTGGTTGAGGGCAGTCTAACCAAGAGACCACAAAAGACTGCCTCCATTTCCCAAATGAGTTTAAATTTCATTCATCTAAATAACAACCAAAAGAAAAATTTTAGCGTCATAAGGAGGAAATGAGTCCTAAAATATGCCTAGCTTGAAAGTAAACAAATCAGCAACAAACTACTCTTTTGGTGGATAAAACTCCCCCCTCTGTGGCTGGCTGTTGTTTAAACACCTGATGTTTATTTATTTAAAAGCAAAGCAAAAAACGTGCTGCTTATATACCACCCAATAGCTCTTAAAGCACTCTCTGGGCAGTTGATAATCTCAATATACAGGCTACACACTGCCTCCCCCCTCCAGCAAGCTGGGTACTCAATTTACCAACCTTGGAAGGCTGAGTAAACCTGGAGCCGGCTATTAGGATTGAACCTTAGGTCGTGAGCAGTTTTGACTGTGGTACAGCAGCTTAGCCACTGCTTCACAAGGCTCCTATTTAAAATACAGTGGTGCCTCACATTGCGACATTAATTCGTTCCGCAAAAATCACTGCAGAACGAAAATGTCACAATGCGAAATAAAAAAACCCATAGAAACGTATTAAAACGCAATTGATGCATCCCTATGGGCTTAAAACTCACCGTTCAGCGAAGATCCTCCATAGCGCGGCCATTTCTGGTGCTTCTTAAGCGAGGAATCCGTCCCAGAAAAAGGCGGCTGGCCATTTTGTTTACACGGTGGCCATTTTGAAACTGCAGATCAGCTGTTAAAAAATCATTGCTTTGCGATGATCAGTGCCCGAAGCAGGGAACTGATCATCGCAAAGCAAAATTCCCCCATAGGGAACGTCGCAAAAAGTTCATCGCAATGCGGTTTTGTCGCTAAACGGAGCGCCCGTTAAGCAAGGCACCACTGTATTTTTTATCCCACCTTTCTCATCAAAAAGGACCCAAGGTGGCTTACATCATTAAAAAGGCAACATTTAAAAGCTAAAAACAGCAAGTATACAAACATTATACTTACTGTTAATAATTTTTAGAAATGTACAAGGCACCTTAGAAAATTGTGAGTGTCTTTGTGGATGTCAAGCAGGAGAACTGCATTAAGACTTGAGTTCCTTTCCCTGTCCGTCACCAGACACCCGCTGATCCCAAGTGAATGACACTGCACGTTTAAAGAGGCTGACATGGAAAATGAAAGAGAGAAGGAGAGTGCTTATTCTTCCTTTGAGGTCATCTCTGGCAACCTTATCCCTTTTGGAGCTTAGCCATGTTTTATGCAGCTGCATGGCCTATATGCCTGCAGAATTTGCTAGATAGCATGGTCCTCAAATCACCAATGGTCAGCTTAAATCAATTGGATTTGATGGCATTAAGCCAGCTAAGGTGTAAATGTGCCAGCCAAATTAGTTGAATTGTAGACCTTTGTGTTGTAAAGTTGTGTGCTAACCATTTATACAGTACATAAAAAAATAAAACAGCCATTGTGAAAATTCTACTGTCTTGCAATCTGTAGATGATAGCACCCCAATCATACCATGCAGTGATTGAGAACATGATCTTTTGCAGTTCTGTCCCTTTTCTTCCCCTTTAGGGATTAAAAGTTTTCTTCCTTTAGGGGAAGAAAATGTCAAGATATGTATTAAGTCTGGATTCTGAGATTTTATGGGAGCATAACTGTTGTTCATCAAGAACTGAATTCAAAATTATTTTTGGTGCAATAATAATAATAATATATCTACATGGAATATTACTTTTAAAAATCTACATCATAATATTTGTTGTCTTGCAGGTCACGGAGTTGGCAGGCTACACAGCCCGTGTTTACAACATGCTTTCTGTCTTTGATGAAGTGAAGAGGGGCATTTACAAAAGGGCAGCCGTTTCTCAAGAATGTGAAAGTAACAACAAAAAGAGAGATAAAACAGAACGACATATTGATGGCCCCTTAGAAATCAAGGGTAATTAATACTACATTTTGAAAAAGCCCCTTTTAACAACAGTTAAAAAGGGTTAACTCTTCTTAATGTGCAGCTTTAAAGTGAAACAGTGGAATAATTGTATAAGTAGATTCTTTGAACTCTCAGTTCAGTTCATTGCCATTGCTTCTGAAAGCAGTCCTGACAAGTGTAACTGGAAAAAGAAGGTAGTCACCCCATGGGACTTTTCATCTTGCAAACTGGCTGCTCTCAAATGCTGAGAAGCAAACTCTGTGTTCAGTATATTGCTTGGCTCCTGTACCTGTATCATTTCAAGATTTGAAGGTGAGAATATACCGGCATGTTCCACTTAGTCAGAATTTCCCTGCTTATGGCATGCTAGCACATCAGAGGGATGGTTGTAGTTTAGATATCTCCCTTCCATGCTGGTTTTGGACATTTTGTTAACTCTTCTATTTTATGGTCTCAAATTGGTGCAATCCAGGAATTGTGCATGTACAATTGGTAAACATTTGTGCCTCCCAATTTCCCTCCACCTTTTCCTGTCTCCCCTTTTCATGTTCACTATTTCCCACAGCATATGGTACTTCTTTTCTCCCAATATTCCTCTCCTCAATGCAGTAGAGACTTCACCACCAAAAGACTTTCTCTCTCCCATGTAATTTCCTATCCAGCTTGGAACATTTCATTTGGTCTCTGTCCAAGAAGGGTTTGCAAAGTGTTGTACTCTACCTTTTCTTTGCTTCCGGTGTTCCAGCCTTCTCTCAGTTGGTGGCCCCAATGTGTTGGACTGGAATGCCCCTTATCCTGAGTCAGCATGGCCAAGAATATCTTGAGAGTAATAGGTTGGTGGAAGACCGTGCACCCTTCCCCCCCCCCGCCTTCTAGTTAATTTTCTGACTATCCTTACTGCAAGGAAAGATCCCAGCACGGTGTTTTAAACATTTTGGTTTTTAAAGTACTGCCTTAAATATTTCTCAGTTCCTTCACCATCTTTAAGCTGTTTATGAAATTAGGTGAGAATTCTCATCATACTCACATGAGTCTGATTCTGCTGGAAACAAGAGGAAAAGAAAAGTTGGTGGATTGAGAATTCCTTTAATTCCTAAGAATTAAACCATTCTTACAAGACTATAATTGTCATCTATCATAAATACATATAAACAATCAGAAAAGCATAAAATAATAATTGTCTCAGCTCATGTGAGTTAATGAGGGACAAATATGGGGGCACCTTTCCGAAAGGCAAGAAAAAGCCTTTGTTTATCCTATTAAAGTGGCAACTAACCACAGACTTCATAGCAGTTTGGATGTCCATGTTGTATAGTCTTTTAATAGTATCTTCTCTGGTAACCTCTTATTCCTTCCTGTGGAGGTAACCTGAGGAATAGCCCAGCATAAATATGTGTGTGTTTAGTCGTTTAGTCGTGTCCGACTCTTCGTGACCCCATGGACCAGAGCAC